AGGAGCGGACGCTCCTACAATGAGCATGCGTACTTTCCTGCTAGCGCAATTTTGACGAATTTCTCTATGTAGCTTTTGGGGGAGTATAAATACCCCCACTAGTTTCAATTGTACAAATCTTTATCCCTTAGACTCTCTTAGACCCTTATTCTTTTCGTTAGTGTATAAAACACTTCTTAATTAGTTTAGATTATCAACAATTCAATCATTTGTAGAAGATTAATTGAAGTTTGTCCTCCTAAATTCATTTCTTCAACTTTGAAGCTCCAATTATAGTAATCTCTTTCCTCTTTCTCTTTTGTTATTTTTCTGATTTTATATGCTTTGTGAATGCTATTCTCTCACAATCCTTGTTAATTGTTCTTGCATGTTCAATCTATCTCTATTTTATCCCTCTACACAACTTGTTAATCTCATGATAGCTTTAGATTTTGGTGTTAGCATGTTGTCTTCCACCATGAATTGTGAGTAGTCTTTTAACTAGGGTTTGGGTGAATGGGTTGATTAATCTACGATATTTTCAAGTTCCATACGGGTTGATGTTATTTGCTCTTGAGTTGATCGATTGCATGTGTACTTTGGTGGCAAACTTTATGCTCATTTGTTCACTCTTATACTCGGATTGAAAGATGGAGTTTGGTAGTAGGTCTTCTCTATGTGCAATTAGACTACATCTCTTTTATGATTATGAGTGTCCTGCTTTATTGATTAGGGTGCTTTAGTGTGATAATTAGGTAAGAAATCTCAATTATTTGTGCTTCATGTTATCTCGTAACGATTAAAGACAAACAAGAGCTAGAAATCCACTTCCTAAGACTATAACTTATCATGTTAGTTGTTTGGTTTAAGAAACACTTAGTGTCGTGGCTGTAAAAGAAGACAATATTGAGTTCCCATTCCATCACCCAAGCATGTTCATGTTCTATTCTATTTATCGATTCATTGGTTTGGTTGGTATTGAATCCCGTCCCCCCCGGGTTTGTCTCCCATAGTATCTCCCTTAGCTTAATAAAGTCGTAAAGTAGTTAGTTAATCAAAATCAATCTTATGACCAAGTTAGCTTATAGTTGTTTCGCATGTTCAATGCTCTTATTAGCCATTCCTTGTGGATACGATCCTCTACTTGCCTTAGATTTGTTTTAGGTTATAAGTATTGTTTGGCTAAAATGTTTCATTTGACTACGTGAAACATGAAACGTTCCTTTGTAGTGACCCCGATGACTAACCTATCTAAAACTTCAAACATGCAACTTAACCAACCCACGAGCCATATGAGTGGTGTGTGTCATACCAAACTATTAGGTGGGTCAATCCCAGCCGCCTTAGTTGAGACCACCTAGTCGGGTGGTCGTAGTCAATGTTCACCTTAGCCATGTCACATGTGCTATAGTTCACACAAGCTTTCTTATGTCCAAGACTACGCCTATGACTCATAGTCATAAAGCCACCTTTAGTCGGTCGCTAACCCTTAGGTAAACACCTGCCCCCTAAAGAGTTCTATTTTAATGTGGCTAAGAATTTTTAGCGAACACCTTTGTTACCTTAAATGGGCTCGACCACCTTGGAGCAAACTAGGTGCAATCCCATGATAGCATGGCCAAAGCTTTCGATAAGATTAGGAATTGAGGGGCCAATATACTTTGATGCAGTCGGAAATTTATGGTCTTAGTGACATGATGCGACACTATTTTGAGGGCGGTCCTAACTCCGCCAATAGGGCCAGTCCTTACTTTCCCCTTTGCATGCTTTTATCTTTATATGTACACATTGAGGATAGTAATGTGAAATTTAGCTTGGATGAAGGAATACTTTTTTCTTTGTAGATATTAGTTATGTTAGTTTTCTTTATTTTTGAGTGTTTTAGCATCTTTTAGTGTCTTTATACAACTAATGCCCTAACAATGATGTTAACGCATGTGCGACTTTTGAAATTGAAAAACTTTTTTTTTAAAAACCCATTTACCGATTGGCTTGGAATCACTGGCGGAGCCAAGTGGATACAAAAGGGGACAGCTATGCCCCCACTTTAAAAAAAAAATTACTATAATTAAAGAAAATTATGTGCAGCATAATGAATAAGAAAAAGGAGTTGGTTCAATGGTTTAAGGGTTTACCAGTATTCTCTACGGTCAAGGATTCGATCCCTTTGTCCAACATTTTCTTCTTATTTTTATTTTAAAGTTTTCCCCTTTCCTTGCTTGTTTCTTTAATTCACACATTTAATTAGAAATAATACGGAGTACAATTTAATGGCATCATGTTCTAACTTCTAAAAAACCTTAGTACAATTTACATAATTTTTTTGATAATTGCATAAATTACAACCCCAAATTATTGGTTATAGTAGAAATTTCAACAAAGGTGTTTGATTTTATTATATATCTCAATATATATTAAATTGTCCCGGGTTTGAAAACTTTGAACCTATAACATAAAATTCTTGGATCTGCCATTGCCCAAATTGGAATGAGAAATTGTTTATATGTTAGGATTATCATTAATTAGAAATCCTATTTATGAATTATTTGATAATTTTAATTGTATATTATTTAATAATTGATTCACAATTTTCAAATTAATTATTGATCGCTTTCAAAAAAAAAATGAAGACTTGAAGGTGAAGATGAAGTTGTAATTAATATGATTCTTTTTTTTCTATTTTTTGGACTGTATAATTAAGAATTTTTGGGTTTCCGGGTTGTAAAACTTATTTATAAGTATTAAGCATAGTCCATACAATTTATGTATGTTTAAAAGGTTTTGTCCATTTATAGAACGCCACCTTTAGTCCGTCCCCCTAGGTGGAAAATCCTGGCTCCTCCACTGCTTGGAATTTAGCTTGTTGGTGGCCCACTATGTTAATCGGACACGGCCAATATCGCGGAGTGTCCGTGTCGACACAACACGACACGACATCGACACCGACACGAAATCCGTGTCGTATCCTCCACTTTGCACTCGAACACTTCAACTTAGAGAAGAGAGTGAAAGAGAAGATACAAATCTGAATTTTTTTTATAAAAAAAATACAAGAAAAGACCATACCATGGAAAACCCCTCATAATTGGACTTGAAATTTGAAGTTCTATGCCATGATTTTAGAGAATTATGAGTAGAAACTACAAATGGCGGGCATAGCTATGTTTTACGAAGGAAGTGAAAGAAAAAGGAAGGAGAAAGGACAAATAGTGGGTGGGTGGGTGGGTTACAGCGGTAACTCTAAGTCAGATATTTATTTTTTTTACAAAAAATTATCATATCACGTGAGGGATAGGAGAAATATTCTCCTTTATTCATATCTACTTCTTTGGGCCAACCCACACCTCATTCTCCACTTTGTTATTGTTTTATTTAAGGACTTGTTATTACTTATTAACATAAATTACTTTGATATTTATGAAATTCTGATAATTTATAATTTTGTAATATACGATTTATTTGTAAAAAAGAAAAAAAAATGATGTGTCCCCGCACCCGTGTCCAAATTTTGGACAGTGTCCCCATGTTCCAAAATTTTGAAAATTGCCAGACCGGATACTTGGACACGTGTCCGTGTCCGACACACGTCCCCGAGTCCAAGTAACATAGGTGGCCAGAATGGTCTCCTTACTCGACTAATGTGAATAGCTTGAGTACCTTTGTGAGATTTTAGAGCCATATTTGACTAACATGTCTTATTCAGTCCAGTGGCGGAATCAAGGGGGGCTGGGTAGGCCATGGCTTCCCCTATGATTCACTTAAAAATTAATTATGCATATATTTATAGCCTATGCATTGCAGCTAAGTTGGTTTACCTTGACGAAATTGAAGGGAATTTCTTCCATGAGACTAGAGTTCGACTCTTGATGAACCATTTTTTTTTTTTAGCATTAGGCTTTATAATAGCTAGTGGGCTTGCTCCATATTGGTATCCTAATATGTCCTCTTAAAGAACAAAGTCCCCTTAGCATGTCCGGTAGTATTTTATAGTTTTTTAAAAAGTTTTTTTTTAAAATTTTTGTATTATTTTTTAAAAACGTAGCGATTATATATGTTAGGAATTAATTATAGCTTAGTATTCAAAATTTTTTAAGTTGTGCAATGAAACATTAAAAATTATTTCTAGATGAAATAAATAAATATTTCGTATATTTGATCTTGGCCCCCTTAATGTAAAATTTCTGATTACGCCACTGATTGCCTTGCAACTATTTGAGACTTATGATGCAATATGTAAGAATGATTGAAGTTTTACAGGCTATGAATAAGGCAGATTTTTCATTTCTTTAGTATTTTCATTTCTTTTTTCCATTTGGTAAATTTTGTACAGTAGCTTCTATGAATAGAGTAATGATCTCATAATGTGTAAAATGAGTAGGATTAGATGATTGAATGAAAAATGAAATTAAAAAAATAATACTTGGAAGTGATTCTTGTTTAAAATTTATGGTTAACAGAATTCAGGGTTTTAGGAGGTCATAGTGTTTGTGGCATTTAGTATGGTCAATATCCTTGGTTGGCAATCTGTCTAAGGTGTGAACCCTTTAATTCAATTGTAAGCTGTTTTTTTTTTTTTTTTTTTTTTTTGACACAATTGTAAGCTGTTTTATGTTGAGCAATCTGTCCATAAAAGCTTTAAATTTCTCAGCTTAAATTTAGATTAGGTATCCTTACTAGTTTTCCATACTATAGACTTGTCTATAACATTTTTTTTAATGGAATCATTTTTTTTTTTTTTTCTTTTGGTCTTCAGTGTCCAAAACATTGCAGTTTGATGCTCTTGGAACCAAATGTGTTGTACTTCTTATTTTTCTGGCACCGTTGTATTATAAACAAAACTATCTTAGTAGAAATCTAAAGGCTGAAATCTAAATATGAGCATGCCGTAGAATTACAATGGGAACAACAAACAATTTCACTCAACCTCATACAGTTCATTGAAACAGTCTAAGAAAGTAAAGAGCAGGATTATAGCATGATAAAACGAAGCTCAAAGATCCAGCATAAAGAAATGATCTTACCCCAATACTACGATCATTGCTGTAACTTGATAATCCTGCATGCACTCTGAAATACTGCTAATGGCTCCTTTCTCCAACAGTATCTGCAGCAGCAAGATCCAGTCATTCTTGAACAGGGTAGAGCATGAGCTAAACATCTACAGCTTCAGCATGATATGATTTGCATGTGCGACACCTTCTCATACTACATGTCCCCATAAAGTCAATTTTTTTTAGGATTTTTTGTAAATTACCACCCACAAAATAGACCAATATTGATATAACCACCCAAAAAATAATTAATGTTAAATTACCACCCATTAAATTAAAAAAACGCGCAGATTACCACCCATTTGGAATTTCCGGTGGAATTTCCGTCAGTGGGCCCCATTTTTTATTTTTTTCCTTTTTTTCCGTTTATTCTCACTCTCTCTCCCCGATTTTTTCACTTTCCTTCTTCCTACCTTCTTCCTTTCTTCTTCCCAACCACCACCACCACCACCATGGCTCCACCTTTCACACCACCTCTGGCAACCCTTAACCCCAGCACCACCACCGAAAATCGCTGCCCAAAACAGCCCCCTGCTTCATCTCGCAACATCCATCCTCACGCAAACAACACCAACCCACCCATCTCCTCCACCTCGCACAGCCGCACCAGCCACCGCAAGAAGCGCAAAAACAGCAGCAATTCCCTCCACATATCAGCTGTATAAAATTAACAACTTTTGCTCGAAATTTCAGAAAACCCCCAATTCAATTAAAATAAGAACCCTAATTTAAGAAACACCCAATCAATTGAAGCATGAACCCTAATTTCAGAAAACCCCCAATCTCCTCGATTAATTGCGGATGGGAATGTCGATGGAGTGGGAAATTTGGCTGGGGTGGAAGATGTTGCAGATGGGAATGTTGGTGGGGTTCATAATTGCAGATGATGATGTTGGTAATGGTTCATAATTGCAGCCAAGCCATCTCAATTAAATTGCTGCCAAGCCAAATGGGTAAATTACCCAACTCAAAAACTATTATCCTACACAATACCAAATTGAAATTGATAACAATGGAAAGAACAAAATCATCACAGCCTCAAAATGATTAGTACTCCGTATAAAATAAGGGGGCGTTTGGTAAACGCAGAAAAAAAGAAGGGAGTAGTAGTACTGTAGTATGGTTATTGTTGTTGTTGTTGATGATGATGATGGAATGGTGGTGGTGGTGGTTGGGAAGAAGAAAGAAAGAAGGTAGGAAGAAGAAGAGTGAAAAAATCGGGGAGAGAGAGTGAGAAAGCTAGAAAATAGAAGAAAAAAAAAGGAAAAAAGTGGGGCCCACTGACGGAAATTCCACCGGAAATTCCAAATGGGTGGTAATCTGCGCGTTTTTTTTAATTTCATAGGTGGTAATTTAATATAAAATATCTTTTGGGTGGTTATATCAAAATTGGTCTATTTTGTGGGTGGTAATTTACAGAAAATCCTTTTTTTTAAATAGCCCCATAAAGTCATATAAAAATAGGGTATATTGTTCATACTACATTCTCCATAAATTCATTTTTTTTTTAGCCCCATAAAGTCATATAAAAATAGGGTATATTGTTCAAACAATGAGAATATGCAAACTATGGTATATAGTATGAATTGCTGCTTTGACCAAACAAGAAATCAAAGTAGGTTTAATTGTATGACAAAATATATATGTATAAAAAAAAAGCCTCTTGGATAATTTATGGTCAAGAAGTCTGACTGTGACTCATGCTTGATAACCAAGCAAATAGTCTCAGCTGGATTTTGCTAGATTGGTTAGTAAGACTACAGAAGAAAAGGTACAATCCGTGCCATGGGATTACCAGATAAGTAACAGAAATGTAAAAGAAAACTACAAGAAGGCATTATATCAAGCAAGCCTGTCTTCCACCCCCTAAAAATTCTGGTAAAGAATACCAAGAAAATTAGACGCTTTATTAGTCCATACATATAATTATATACTGCAAAAGACTAACAGATGCATAGGGACAATATACAAAGGTATCAACAGCCAATCCTGGTACTTATTACTTATTAGTAATAGATGAATTTCTGCAACTAAATGCTGGGAAGAAATCAGAACTTCTGTAATAATATAACATTTCCATCCTCAGATAGAAAGCTAGATGGCAGATGATTATACAAATCAATATGCATAAATATATTGCATTATATTATGATCAACACATAAATAATCATAATCAGAGAAGAGATTCATGACATATCATTTTTATGTAAAACACAAAGACTATGTACACAAAGGGTTTCGCCTTTGGTGGACATGAGATCATATGTAGACAAACCAACCCAGAAAAAGCAGGGACCACAGACATAATGATTTATAAGGAATTCAAGCAAGGGAGTATCACTAAGTCAAGATATAGAAGTTGCTCATGAAAAGAAAGAGCAAACCGTATCAAGAAACAAAGGTTGGCCATCTTCACAGAAAATATTGTTGGTACTCTTGTATGATTCAAAATTCCATCTTTCTCCGCTGTCATAGCGTCCACTTGTAAACCAATCAACAACCAATAAGTTTGAGTCTGATAGCACCCTGAATACTTGCTTTTGAGTATACCTTGCGGTGGTGAAACATGTCACTGGATCTGGAATGATAGCCAGCAACGCTTCATGTCCAACTCGTGCCTACTGCACAAGAAACTTGGGTATTGTTACTAGCAATAATTGGTGTATACATAACCCCCCAGGCAGATGACACAGGGACACTGCCATTATAAAACACTAAGCAACACCTAACCACCGACTAAACCACCAAAGCTACATTGTTTTAATGTTCAAATACGCTTAAGAGAATGATTACCAGCAAAAAGCAATCTCCAATGTCAAGATAACATAGTCCAATGGACGGGAATTGGTCCTTGATTACACTTGATCAGGACTAGCAGAGAGCATGACTTAGCGGACGGGATCATCTAACTACCAATCGGAAAAATTGTTGAAGTAAGCTACAAAAAATTAAGTAGAACAAGATACTATCCAAAACAGGATAAGCTTAAACCCACACTCTAGTGCACTGCCAAAAAACTAAAGCATCTAGTCAAAATATCTTCATCTACATCATATCCTTTCTTTATTTTTTATTTAACATCTTAATGATCGCTGATTGGAACCCTTACAATTTCAAGTCATAAAGTGCATACAGGCTTGTCAGGTCCATTAACTAGAAAGAGAAACTCAATGTGATTAAATTCAGGAAGTAAGCTTGACTGGCTTCCGAGGCACTTGAATAACCAAGAATCATCACAAGTAAAAACACAAAAGATTTATAATGACCTTGGACCACATGAGGCTTCTTACAGAAACAATGAGATGGATAGGCTATCAAAAGCTATACAAATATGTGCATTCAAAAGATACATTAACAAAGAAGTACTATGCTCTTTTACCGGTCATTGGTACTAGAGACATCACGATAATTCCTCATAACCTTGATAAGAAACTGGACAAGTATCTAAATAATGATCAAGATCCACTTTCTCAAAATTTTAACTCGCGGAAGATAAGTTTGACGGAAGCTAGAATGCTAAACCCACAATGAGTGAAAAAGTTTCATATGAAATTTAAAATCTTCGTATAATAATTCTCTATGTGTGTTATTTGGCTTCAACTTTCAAGTCTTGAGTTGCAATCATTAACTAAACTCAAAATGACTCATAATATAGTGCCTTAAGTCATACATAAACAAAAGAAGCTTCATAATTTAGCACTAATAAACAAAGTGGCATACATCATTGCCATCACCAATCAATCTATACAAGGAAATCTTTGACAAAAAAGCCAAAACAATTTCGAAGTAACATTTCACTGAAGTGAACATTTCTGCTGAACCAATTGTCTCCCTTACATCAAAGTATAGATCCTAAACAGTATGCTAGGAATAACAGTATTAATTACTCAAATGGGAATATACCTCCAAAATTTGCTCTGAGCCCTTCGATGCAACAGATTTGTATACCTTCACAAATAGAAATATAAACTTTAATGTCTGATTTCCATTACAACATATTTACCACAGAAAATTAAAAAATAAAATTCAGATTGACTTATTTACTCTAAACCAAACACATCATTTTTCCCTCCCCTTTCCTCATATCTGATACCAAATCAGCCTGTGAACACATTTTCTATTTTGGATTTAAACCATAAAGTCGGTACACTATTGTACGGTAGGTAATAGTAATGATTTTATTATGTAATTTTGCAAGGAATATCACATGCTAATGTCAAAACATGTGTTTTTCTCACTCCACACTCATTGACTAATACCCAACAATTTTTTTTCCATACATAAATACTACTCCCTCCATCCCTTATCTACATGCCTACTTTTCTTTTTGGGGTTTCAAAACTACATGTCTATTTCTATTTAAAGAATACTTTTTGACAATATTCTTTTTTTTGATGAGTTGTCATTATTTTTCTTTTATTTTTTTTGTACTTTTGACATCATTTTCCAACACTCTCTCTCTCCATCTCTTTAATAATTATCAACCACCTTTTCCTTCTCTTTATCTCTCTCTAACCCCATATGCATATTTGTACTTCCCAATAATGGCTTTTAAGGAATCAAGTAGGCAGGTAAATAAGGGACGGAGAGAGTACAAAGTAAAGCATAAAACGAGCATTACTTGGGTATTGTATTACATAGTTGCATACTCCATATAAATTTATTATCATTATCGCCTACCAAACCGACCGTTAACATCAAACGACAGACCACATTAAAATAACCATAAGTCCTACATTATAGAAAGTACCTTAGTTGAAGCCTGTGTAGTCAACACAGTAGTACACCCATCTCCAATGGTGAAATTACATTTTATTGAATCACCCTAAATCCCAACAATTTCCACAAATTCAGACCAAATATAAGTTAATTAAATGCAAAATTAAGGAGAAATTGAGAAAAAAAAAAAAAAAAAAAAAAAAAAAAAAAAAAAAAAACATACCGAAACAATTCCACCTCCATAGCTTAGCGAGTAAATCCAGACGCAATCAGCATTTCGATTACCCACCTGAAAAAGGGTCTTTTACAAGATTATCAAAATCAAACAAAAATGCTTGAAAAATCATAACCCAGAATATTAAAACTTGAGAATGTGTTGAAAACCTTATTGGGTACAATGAATTTGAGGGGATACTTGGAGAAACAGCGGGTTACTGTGGATTTGCCACCGACTTTTGCAACTTCAATTGACCCTGTGTCCATTGACTCTTGTTCAGCCGTTGGCTCTGATCAAAATCTATACTGCTTTTTGTTTGGTTCACTTGGGAATTAGAACTTTCCATGAAAGTAACTTTTTAGGAGCTTTGCTACTTATATAGGGGTTAAATAAGTAAGTTTTTATATTTTGTAGGAACTCAAAATTTGTAGAAAGTTTCACTTCCCCTATTTCAACAAAACAACACACAAAGCTCATTGAATGGAAACCACGTCTATTACCATCTTAACTAGAATTAATTCATGCTCTATTAATTCAAATTATATATAAATACTTAGGAAAGTATTGCGTACAACCGGCTTACATTAACGCTAATGTAAAACCGGATTCTCACAAAGCAGCGTAATTTTCAACCTTCTTCTTCTTCTTCAACCTTCTTCTTCAACCTCCTTCTTCAAACTTCATTTCACAATTTCGCAGCCGCAACAAAACATCTCTAATTTGCTGCAATTCTCTGCAAAACAGCCATTAATTCTCTAATTCACAAATTATTACAATCTCAAAAACATATTCAATCTCCAATTTCAAACGTTGATTGTGCAATTGATGTTGACTTAAACGACGAATTTTTGCAACAAAACCTAGAACGTTTTTCCAATTTGAGCTCTAAACGTAAACTATTGACAAAAATGGTTGCGTGGCAAAACTATTTACCAAACTAAGCTTCCAGGGTAAATCGCTGTCTCGGACAGCGTTTTACCCCTGGTTTTTTTTTTAAAAAAAATTCAACTGGTAAACGCTGTCCCAGACAACGTTTTACCTTCTGTATTTTTTTAAATTCAGTAGGGCATAAAACGCTGTCTCAGACAGCGTTTTATCCTTGGGTTTTTTTTTAAAAAAATTCAATGGGTAAAACGCTGTCCGAGACAGCGTTTTATGCCCTGTTTTTTTTTTTAAATGAAACGCTGTCCGGGACAGCGTTTCATGGCCATATATCAGCATGTTCACTTCAGCAGAATGCGCAAGAACTCAACCTCAACCTCAACGCTTTCCCTCCTCCCTCTCACACTAAACCACGACCGTACTCAAACACCCGCATTGCCGCCGCCGCCCACCCTTGCGCCACCGCTGCTGCCGCCACCTTGCTGCTGCCCTCCTCCCTCTCACACTCACTCACTCAATTTCGTGGTTAGCCCTAAACTGAATTTAGTGTAATTGCATAGTTATTGTGGTTAATTATTGTGAATTGTATGTAATTGCTCTTACTTGTTGTTAATTCATGTCAATTGCATGTAATTGTTGCTAATTATTAATGAAAATGTGGTACATTGTTGATAATTATTGATGGTGATGTGGTACATTGTTATTGAAATTGTTCATGACATTGGTGAAGTTGATGATGGTGAAAATGTTGAAGTTGTTAATGGTTGAAATTGGTGAGAAGAGATGAAATTGTTGAAATTATTGAAATAGTTTAGGTTGAAATTGTTGAAATAATTCAAATTGTTCATGAAATTGTTGAAATTGGTGAAGTTGTTGAAAGTGAAGTTGTTATAGGTGAGAAGAGTCTTATTTCAGTGTTGATAATTTACCTCGCTCTAGATTTCGATAATCCTAAAATGTGTTTTGGTTATGTAGAATATGGCGTCACAAAATGTAATTTTGATTTAATAACATTTGGAACATTTTGATTTAATAACATTTGGAACATTTGATCGTTAACATTTTGGTTAATTGCTAATGCGTTAACTCTGTTGGGATTTGTTAAATTGCATGTGAACAGATACGATGGACGGTGAAGATCGTACGCCTGGACCCGTTGACCCTTCTGTGCTTACACTACAGGGCACACACCGCAGCGTTGCCGTATGGGATCAGACGGTAATATTGCATTTGTTTGTTCATGGACTACAGCTTGTTGAGTTTATATGGTATATGATCTTAATTTCTTTCTAACAGGTTGATCCGGCAAAGCAGCTCGTTTGCAGGCATTACACCACCAGGTTCATGGTGGGGTGGGGAATCGATCCTCGCGTTTTGGCGTACGTCGAGTTTGTCGGTTTAGGTGGTTTTCACCGTATGGCGTATAGGGAGATCGATCGAGCGCTTGTCACTGCGCTCGCGGAGAGGTGGAGACAGGAGACGCACTCCTTCCACCTACCTGTTGGTGAGACGACCGTTACGTTACGGGACGTGGCGATTCTTACGCGCCTTCCAGTACATGGGTCTGCGGTGACAGGACACGCGTTAGTCGATCCCGTCGGTTTGGTTGGTCGGGTACTTGGTGTCCAGCCAGGTCCCGCCGATATTAGGGGATCCGGGTTGAGGACCGGCTGGGTCCGTGAGACTTTCCGTGAGCTACCACCAGGGGCTGATGACGCCCAGGTTCAGAGATACGCCCGGGCGTACTTGTTCTTCCTCATCTCGGGCGTGTTGTTCGGGAATAAGAGCGGGAGCCATCTCCAGCTCATTTACGTGCAGCTGTTGGACCACGACTGGGATCATATCCGAGGCTACAGCTGGGGTAGTGCCTGTCTGGCGACGTTGTATCGCCAGCTGTGCAGAGCATCCCACGTAGGTGCTAACGAGATTGGAGGTCCCCTGATTGTCCTCCAGGTACCTCACTTATTTCTGTACCAAAAAAACTATTTCACCACGCACTTACATATTTCATACTGAAGCTAGTTTTGTGTCTCTGTGTGCCAGTTCTGGGCTTGGGAGCATATCCATGTAGGCAGACCAGGCAGACCTGCGATACACCGTCGGGGGGAGCAGGACCAGGACGACCAGTACCAGGCGTACGATGCTCCCCCGCTCCCTACACCGGATGAGGCATATGGTTGCAGGTTCGATACAACTTTCATTGAGTTAGGCTTTATTTAATGCGCGGGGTTGTTAACTGAAACATTGTTCGATATTAGGTGGGTGGTACCCAGGCTGACACATGCTCATGCGGCGAGGGGTCTTCCGTATTACCGAGACGCCCTAGACCGACTCACCGAGGACCAGGTAACAATTTAAAATACAGTTTTAGCTTTTTTGTTTTAACATTGTACTTGTTGCGAACTAACATATTCATAATATTACTGTTGATGTGTATTTACAGGTGACATGGGACCCGTATGTACCTGACTTGGTAGATGCCATGCCTCCACATCTGCTAGACCATCAGGCGGAGTGGCGTGCTAGGGTCCCCCTGATCTGTTTCGAGGTTGTGGAGAGTCACCTGCCCGACCGAGTCATGAGGCAGTTTGGACTACGCCAGACTATCCCACAGGGGTGTGACACTAGTGTACAGCTTCACGGCATTGATCGTCGGGGAAAGGGGGAGACCAGCTGGGCGCTGGAGCATTGGCGTTTCCTTCAGCTATGGGAGCAACGGTTGGAGTTCATCGTTGGAGGTGATCTAATGCAGGGGGCTATGGATCCCGACGATCCGTACATGGTGTGGTACAGGCGTATCACACGACGCTTCATCAACCCCAGCTACGCACCACCATCCACACATTACCATCCAGCATATGACATCATTAGCGGATATGTGAGTTATTATTTTTCTACTCCTTTTCAACAATTTCCATATTTGTATGCCATAGATCTGACTGATCGATGATTACTGCAGGCGGCGGATATGGTGGCGATGGTTGATGCGCTATCAGTCTCCCTTGAGTGCGGACCCACTAGAGCCCAGGTCGAGCAGGTGCGAGATATGGGCGTCGCTACCTTACGGAGATATGGTCACGCTCATCTCGCCCACCGGCGGGACGGTCATGATGGCAACTCACAGTTCGATCTCGACCAGAGCAGCGGTGGATGTGATCCTACGTCACCCAGACACGCAGAGGATTACAACATCCACAGTACTGCGCCCTCTGGTACCCAGGAGGACCCCTCGTCCAGTCAGCTGACTCCCCCACCGCCCCGAGACCCATTCACCACCGTCACTCATTACAGGCGGCGACGTGTCAGACGGAGGGCCGACACTCAGGAGGCAGGACCTTTACCCCGAATAAATGAGTCGGGCTAGTATTATCTGTTGTATTCCCTGTTATTTTGTGTAATGATGTACATAACACTTATGAAATTAATATAATAAATCTTTTTTGAATGACTCCGTGTGTGCTTTGAAGTTAATTTGGTGGTTGGACTGTTGTTGGGCTGTTTCGAGTTTTCTGCAGTGCTTAAAGTTGACGGAACTCCCAGAATATGGTGGTGGTACGTGGTGGAGAGTGGCGGAGTTGGTGGTCGACGGTGGTGGGGTAGGGTTGTGGAGCTGGCTGTTGTGGTGGCTGTTGGAGGACTGCAGCATGCAAGCTGTTTGCTGAAGCTTGTTTTCTGCCTGGATGCTGGTTGCTGTTTCCAACAGAAAAGCGCTGTCTGAGACAGCGCTTTATGTTCAAGCATAAAGCGCTGTCTGAGACACGTTTATGTTCAAGCATAAAGCGCTGTCTGAGACAGCGCTTTATGTTCAAGCATAAAGCGCTGTCTGAGACAGCGCTTTATGTTGAACATATAAAATAGTTGTAGTTGAATTTTTTTTTAAAAAAAAAAACCAGGGGTAAAACGCTGTCCGAGACAGCGTTTTATGCTGGAAGCTTAGTTTGGTAAATAGTTTTGCCACGCAACCATTTTCGTAAATAGTTTCCGTTTAAAGCTCAATTTGGTAAAAGTACACAAAGATTTAAAATGAAAGTTGCAAATGACCAATGTGTATTAGCATACCAACGTACATAATTAGTTGGTAAGTCATCAACATCTCTTGCTCAATCAAACTATATAAAAGCTCCATATTTCTCGTTATAAATGTAACCTTCTCGTTCATCTTCAACAGTTATGTTATGCAGTATAATACATATTATCATAATTTTCCACGTAACTTATATTTTTTATATAAGTGATGAGTTTTGAAGTATAACAAATCTTGTTTATGGAACTTCAAAAGGCAAGCTTAACATTTTTCCGTCCTGACACTTGGTGTTGTGAGAACAATTTTGCCTTTAGAAGTCAAAATAGATGCACCAAAGTTGCCCATTTGAGATATATAACTATCCGCTAGGTAATACAATTCTTACAATCCTATTCAAGTGCTAAAATATGATTCTAACAATTCTACTAATACGGAGTAGCATGTAACATGTAAAACCATACAAGTCGTGTTCGTACTTGTCCCTTGCTACATACTCTTGTAGTTAACCTACAAATTGTTTTATTTTTTTGTTATATACCTTTATATATTTGAGATACGAGTAACATTTTTCAATATACTACATAATAAGAACATAAAATAAGGTGAACCAAATATAGTCTTTGTATGATCGGAACAATTTCGAGTTGTGCAATAAAGTGTGGTACTACTTTAGGAAAAATAACACTATCACATACTACATCTTACACGAGAACTCCACTTATTCGTGCTGATTATTGAACCAAACAATCAAATCACCCTTTTATTCTATTCTAGTATTCTACTACGTTTAAAGACTCACATTTATTTTGTCACTAAAACCATCAAAATCCAGAACAGCAATCTTTCAAATACAATAAATATATAGATCAGAAAGCGTCAATGTCAGAGGTTAAATCTCCTGTTAATGTAAATATCTTAGATTCTGAAGAAGTTGTAGCTTCAGAATTGTCAAAATACGTCGCTGATTTGTCTGATAAGTTTGTCAGAGAAAGGGGCGTTTTTACTGTTGTTCTTTCTGGGGGATACCTTATACAAAATCTCAGGTATGAATCTTTTTTTATTTTCATGTATTTTTAAATTTAAGTAATTGGGTTTTTTATTTTTAAATAATTATTGGAAATAATTTAGGAAATTGGTGGAACCACCCTATTCAAATTCAATTGATTGGTCAAAATGGCATGTGTTCTGGCTTGATGAAAGAGTTGTTCCCAGAGATCATCCTGACAGTAATTATAAGCTTGCCTTTGATGGTTTCTTGTCTAAGGTATATTTTTTTCTAATTACATTGATTATACTTTCATTTATCTCTTTACTGTTAATGATCAACAATTCGAATAACTTGGATAATGTTTGGTTGATCGTGATAGTTACTGAGCTTTTGTTAGGGAGTCGATTACATAGATCACATGAAATAACTTTTAATATGTAATAATTTATGACAAATGGATATTCTTTCGTCCCTAAATTTAAGTGTTATACTTTGACCGGCTCATAGTTTTAGACAATTTGATTAAGTAAAATGGATATTCAAAGTTGATTACATAGATGAGTACGGTTTAGTGTTAGCCAAATTTCAAGGTCAATCAATCTATGTATCGAGTACAAATGATGAGATGGTTGAGTTTCTGACTATAAAAATCTGTTTGTGAAATTAGTTTAACATTATTGTTAATATCCTTTCAATAATACTGACTCTAAAAATTGTAACTGAAAAATCTAGAGGAGAATCAGAGTGATATATGAATTGGATGCATATTTTTCATATGGCTACAAATCACATGCAACACCTCCTAATTCTACCAGGTACCTATCCTAATTGGGCAAGTTTATGCCATCAATGATGCACTCTCCCCAGAAGGGGCAGCTGAAGATTACGAAACCCGTATCAGAAAACTCGTCGAAAGCAATGTGATAGCAACATCACAAGCTACAGGCTTCCCAAAATTCGACCTTATGCTTTTGGGCATGGGTCCAGATGGACATGTCGCGTCTTTGTTTCCTGGTCATCCGCTCCTTAAGGAGCATAAGAAATGGGTTACCTTTATTAAGGACTCGCCAAAACCACCTCCAGAGCGAATCACTTTCACCTTTCCTGTAATCAACTCTTCTGCTTACATTGCTCTTGTGGTTTGTGGATGTGGCGAGGTCAATGCAGTGAAGACGGTGCTCGGTGACAAGAGTACTACTGATGTTCTGCCAGCTCAAATGGTTTCGCCGGAAGATGAGATGACTTGGTTTCTAGACAAAGAAGCAGCCTCGTTGTTGTAGATAAGATCTCATGCTTCTAGATGCATCAATATGTACCTCCTATTGTGAGGACTTGTATGACTTTGATTGTATGATTACTACTGAATAAAATTGATGTATGTCATGAACTTAATGAACTATGACTTATATAATGGAATAAGAAGTGAAGTTACCCAGCAGGCCAGCAGTAATTGGGTTAGCTCTATAACATAATTGTTTTGCTAATCAGGTACATTTAACAGCACATCTTATGTTTTATTATGTGTTTAATGGTATGTATATCTATCCTAATTTATTAAATAAGCCTTAAGCCTTATGGTGTTTATATGGAGACATTTTTTTTTTTGAAGAATATAGAGACATTTTTTGAAAGGAAGTCCAAGTATCATGTGGTTATTTTTTTTACTAGTATATAATTTTTCCTTTGTCTCTAAAAGATTGCCTTATGCCTCAACTTCTCTAAGAAACAAATGCAACTCTATGCATATGGCCATATGGGAGGATACAATTATTGATGAGGAGAGGGATAGAACAAGAGAGCAAGTCGAGATGTAAGTGGAAAAGCTTACCAATTAAAGTGTAGAGTAAATTTTGTAAAGACTTTACACATAGCAATCTTTTAGGGACGAAAGGAGTAATTTTAACATGTGAAAGCTGTAAATAGTGGAAGGAATTCTAAATTTGATTCTAGTAAAAAGCAGCTAAAACAAATGTATCTACTCCGTAAAACTTGGCGTTACTATATAAAATACCAAGGCAAGACATGTCAAATCTCCACAAGTTAGCAAGATTTGGCATGTGATATTATATTGCAATAAATAATCAACTTTGAGCTCTCTATTCTAAATAGATTGCTCATCAACTTACTTTCTTCACCGTGTTTTGAATGATTCGATGAGTAAAGTCATTGATTTTCTTACTGGTTAAAATAATGTTCAACCAACTCGGATCAAAGTGTAGATTCTCATGAAACTCAAAAGCCTTCGATACTTTTTCACAAATTAGGGGAAAAAGACATTATAGTCACTAAATAGGGGAACGGAGACGATTAAACTGTTCAGTAATTCTCTCGAGAAGAATCCAAATTCTGAGGATGATATCAACCCCAATAAGGGAAAAGACCTAGACTAACAGAATCGTGAATAATACAGTTGACAATGTATAACAGAGATGTGTGTACTCTTAAGCCAAAACCATTCCTTTTAAAGAAAAGCAAAGTAATAGTAGACAAAATTTAGATCAATGTCATTAACAAATCAATAAGGTTGGTTGCAATATGGTACATTGATTCTTTTCATAATCGACAAGGTATCAACAGGACAGCAGTAGCAGAGGTTAGACTTGATCGTACAAAACAGAACCCCATCAACATCTACCTCAAGATTCACAATGAAGTTCAGAATCGTTCGAGGGCCTTTCCTTTGGAGCTACAGTTCCGGTCAAGGTTTTCCCTGCACAATAAAAGAATGCATCGTATCCCACACCATCCCACCCAACATCAGATCGAGCAACAGACAAGATTTTGTAGAGTATAATAAGAAATTTAGAATGGTTAGGTTTGGAAGAAAGTTTTGCTCCAGCACAGAGTAGTTTCCTACCTGGATGAACCAATTACAGCCGCTTTTGAAGGTTTAGGAGAGGATAAAGGTTGTTTGCTCGGTTTTAAGTCTGTACTGATAGCAATACTCCCCATGCCTTTCTCCATCGCTTCTCTATCATCCTTTTCTTTCTTCGTTTTATCTAGAGCAGTAGAATCCACTGCCTGACTTTCAGGTGGCGAAGGCTCTATACGAGGAATGCCTCCAGCAATCCATGGATGAGAAAGGCATTGACCAGCAGAAGGACGCTTGCCAGGGACAAAATCAAGAATGGGAACTAGAAATTCTGCAAGGTCATTTGCATCTTGTTCATTGAACTCATACTTCTCAACAAGGACCTTGTTTAATGGCCAAAATCGAAGCCGACGTATGTGTCGCAAGTCTCCATATCTGTTGAAGAAGTCCCGAGAATAACGTCCCCCTAATGCAATCTGGAAATGATTGATGATAAAATTCACAGCTTAGAAGCAAATGCCTTGCAAAATTTACTTTAAAACTTTCCCTGATAACACTAATATATATTCTAACCTTGCGGGGCATCATTCCCAAGAGCTCCATCATTAAAGCTAAGTGATCCTGAAGAAAAATGAGTCAAGACTCAAGACTAGCTCATACTTATGTAACAACTCATTAGACATATGAAGAGTAAAAACTACAGGCATCACCAGTGTTAAAGATGTGCGCACGAATAAATAAAAATTATTTTACAATAACAACAAATATATTTTATAAGGTTGACAAGATTTTACAAGGGAATGCACACTCTAATAATATTGGGGTACCTCACTGATATTTGTGGACACTCTTAATTACAAGTGTGCTAAACAACACTCACGCACTAGCACACTCACACTTGCTAGCTTACACTTAAGTGACACTCATATATATCACAACTACTAACACTTGCTTAGCTGTACTTACACAGTGCTAATCTGCTAAAGTCAGCTAAGGCTTTGTAGTGACACCCAACAACTAATCAAAAACACGTCTACCTATTGTACACATGCTATCTAGATTTTTCTACAGCTAGCCACAAGCCAACCTGATGACAATAAGATGAATGTGGACTCTTTCTATACTTTTTCAAGGCTTATGGAGGTGAGCAGCTTATTTGCTCCTTAGGTAGATTATTCTAGATTTTCTTTCTCACTCTTTTCTATTATTTTCGAACATGCTCAGCAAAATATCAAAACCTATCACTACAAAAACTGCAGTGGTTAGTGAGTACTATTACCACACAACAATATCAAGTAAAAGCAGTGAAACAAATCTGTACCAACAAAGAGACAGGTAGTAATATATTGTGTGTAGATTAATTCATAAGAACAGAAAGCCTGCAACTTAACATATATGTGTCACTAATCTATAATAAGCGGAGAAGAATAAAGCCTAAGGTCCAACAATAACCAGCTAAGATGAGAAATGGGGTTTGGGCCTTTGGGGATATGCAAGGACCTTAACCAGTTAGACAACTAAAGCAATTGAGATAAAACTTCCTAGAAGTTCATCTAACCAATAACTTGTTAAAAATTATTTTTAAATTACTACAGGGGCAACTCATGGCACGAAGGCACAGTGGTGATTTCAAAACAAAAATCTTACCCAAATTTAGTCTTAGAATTATCTGTGAACACTATCCACGGAAAAATAATGATTCACATCTAAAGAGAACACATTCTGAAAAAGAGCCAATAAAAGAGAGCAAACAGTTAAATGCTACTACTTAACACGGACAATGGCGAACCACTTTGCAATAACTCAAAAGTAGCAAGAGTAATTGACATCTACACCAGCACCGCAGCACGCATAGGCATTAAGGCCAAGGTTTTAACCCACAACATAGTTCAGCTTAAAATATCATTTTGTCAATAAGCAACTAAAGGAATCCATTTGACAACTCTCATAGCGCAATTGTTGCAACTTCGCACGACTCAATCAAATCGAAGTGAATAAATCAAACCCACAAGGTTATCAGCCCAAAGTTACGCGCAAACAAGAAAGCTCATCCATTTCTCTATAACCATCCACCTCAAAAGAAGAAAATCTAGAAGAAGGCTATTAAAGACAAAAACTAGATTAACAGAAAGTTGACCATGTACAAAAAGCTAATCTTTAGCCTTAATTGTTCTTACAAGAGGGTCCTATAGGAACCTATGTTGATCAAACATTTCGTTTCACTTCAATTGCCCATAATTTAGGAGCAATGCATGTAACTTTTTTTCTGACATTTGTACAAATTAGACAAACCCCCACATTAGGTACCCAAGTCTGAGACTCTGAATAACAAAGGTTGGAAGTGACCCTGATACATTAGTAAAGCAGGATTCCCAATGACTTGTTAGAATTGAAAAACCACCCTTGACAACAGAAAGTCTATGCTCCAGGCCACTATGAGAATATAATTATACCTTAACCATTTGTCCCAGCATTTTTTAGTGAAAAAGAAAATGAAACACCAGTACAATGATACAGTGGAACCTGAATCAATCCTTAGTCACATTATGGAAAGTTCCTGTACTTCAGCCACAAGGAAGCAAACTACATTAACTTTTTGTAATAGAGCCAATGATCGGACCACCCAAGCCACCAATATGTTTTCAATATCAAAGAAAGGGGAAGCAAGCCAAACAACCAGCCACACCACAGGTGGAGACACAAGAGGACAAATCAAATTAATGTTCTGATTTTCTGAAGAGAAGGGTGCACACAAGTAGTGGAGCAGCATTGCAATGTGGAATGAGACAAAAACAATTAAATGTCAGTTAATATTTGTAGCCTTGCTTTGTATATATAAGGAATGTTTTGATAGTAGGAGAGACATGTGTTAGACTTGTGTATTTGAGATTATACCCTCAAGATACTTCTTTGGAGAGTTGTAACCTAAAGTTACTCAATCATTCAATCAAACTACAATCTTTTGCTGGCTGAATCTCTTTGTTCTCTTTTATATTTGTGTGTTTGTGATGCGGGTTGTTGAGTCCGTCACATTTTTACTGTTTTAGAAAGCAGTTGGCCCAGATGAAATTCCTATTAAGGTTGAGGGATGTCTGGGGAAGGTTGGAATTAATTGGCTAACAGATTTATTCAACAAGATCTGGAGGCAAGATTAGAGAAAGAGCACCATAATACCAATTTATAAAACCAAAGGGGATGATTAGGTCTACTCAATCTATTGAAGCAATTAAGCTTATGGACCATACCAAGAAGTTGTGGGAGAGATTGATAGAGCATATATTGAGAAGATGTAAAATTATAGAAGATTCTCATTGACCAGGAGAGGGCTTATGATAAGGTGCTGAGAGACGTGATCTGGTGGGCAATGATTAAGAAGCCTTATTCTTGTAAATAATTTTGGAGAAGTGAAAACAAATTCAAGGGCTTTAGCTGGAGTTATGAAAGAGTTTCCTATCACCATTGAACTACATCAAAGAATCTACACAAGCCCCTTCTTCTTTACAGCAATATTAGTATCCTCCCTCTCTCCAAAAATAGATTTACACTTTCTTTTTCATTCACTCCAAATTATAGTTTTTTACATTTTTATTTTGAAAAATGCTCCACTATCATTTTAATACATCTCTTTCCACTTAAAGAAATTTAGGGCCTCA